TTAATATTCAACCAACATAGATAAACAGGTTTAGGGTTAAACCTATTGAACGCACATGAATACGATCAGAATAAAGTAGAGACCTTTTATTAGGGCAGGTTCAATCTCTTTTAGGTTGGATTTGTACCTTTATCCCCGAACTATCAGTCATGGTTCTAGACCTATTAGAGTTGACGATCTCCTGGATCGTTAAGGGGTGTAACCTTCACTTCGTGAACGGTTTACAAGTTCCTAAAACTTGTTGGCGATTCTTTTGTTCTATCTTCTTTCCCTTTGGATGCCACCGTACTTTAGTGTATGATCACAGTGGGGTTCAAGCTAGGGGTAATGCTTGAAATATTCCCTACAATAGTCCTATACCTTCAAGCCAATGCTCTAAAATTGTAAAGTCTAAGATTGATTATAAGCAGTATACTGACTATACTCTATCATATAGAGATATTGCAATGTATTAAAAAACGCCTCTAAGATATAGGTACCATTTGCCACCCCTCTTTGACAATAGGCAGATGTTCCTAAGTAATTCTATTTGTCATCCTTTAATTAATTAAGAAGATGTAATCAAGAATCAAGATGATAACAGGATTTCATTTAAAATTTGAAGTGAAGCCAAGTAGCAAACCGACCAATTTAACCCAGAAGTAAAGGCAACCATGGTACATTTAAGTTTCAATCTACACTAATCAACAATTCATCATGGGCAAATACAAGTTTATTTGCCAGAAAAACGAATTTTTGTTAATCTGGTGGCATTTATGTAAATATATTGAAAAAACGTAGTTATTTATTTAGTATTTTTGGTGAGCTGCTCAAATACTGTTTGCAACTTGCTTTTATTGTTTGGTAAGAAAATTACACATGTACCCATCAACTAGTATATAAAAAGACGCATATACCCCTCCACTAGTACTTGAAAATTCAATTATACCCCCAGATAAACAAATTGGAGAATTAATTGGGTACAACTCATGCATCATCTAGATAAAACCTAATCCCTACTCGACGTAAACAAATTAAAACTGAAACAAAAATAAAATTCATATCAATCAAATGTCTTAAACAAACCAAATCCCATCATGGATAAAGACCGATTCCCCAATTGCATTAAAATTTAAAAATCACAAGAAGCAAGAGGTGATGTACTTCTTAGACCTCGTTCTTTAGAGCTGCTCTGCTCTGCTCTACTCAAAAGAAATCTGCTATACATTGCTTTGCACTGCTCTGCTCTATTTTCAAATAATAATTAATAATAATAATTAATATTCAATAATAATAATTAATATTGTATTGATGATAATAATTTATTATTTTAAATAATTATAATAATTATTAATATTAAAAATAATTATAATATTTATTAATATTAATAATAATTAATATTTATTAATCATAATAATAATTAGTAATAATTATTATCAATAATAATCGAATCATATAACTAATATATAAAGCTAAACTTTTAGCCTTGCCACGAGACAACGACACTTGGCGTTCCAACTTTTCACCAAGTGTCACGCCACGTTTGCAATAAAGATAATTTTGACACATATGATTTATTTGTTTAATAAAAAAATTAAATAGATTTGGATTGACTTTGTAGGATAAAAAAATTAGTTTAGATAAAATTTTAGGATAAAATTGTTAGTTTAGTGTTTTGTTTTCAATAAAATATCAATATATGTACAAATTATATCATAACACTAATATATAAAGTTAAACTTTTAGCCAGACGACACTTGGCGTATCAACTTTTCGCCAAGTGTCACGCTACGTAGGATAGAGTTATATAGAATTCAATTTTTAGGATAAAAAAGTTATTAGAATTCTATTTTCAATCAAATTTGGATGAATTTTAGGATACAATTGTTAAGTTAGAATTTTATTTTCAATAAAGTACCAATATTTCATATGTACAAATTAAATTATAATTTTATTTAAAAAAAAAATATAACACTCATAAGTTATCATATAAATTTATTTTTTGTATCATAGTATTTTTTTTGGAGCGAAGGAATTTTCTCAAAATGCACCACATCCATTATTTATAATATATTCTAATCAACTAAAACAATATACTTTACAATCTAATATAATGTTATTATTGTACGTGTGTAGACGTGTCAATCGGGTCAGGTCACAATCATATGTTTTAAAATTTGACATATAGATTAAAAATTTATCTTAAAATTCAATAAATAACCCGGGCATCGCACGGGCACAAAACTAGTATATATATAAAGGGGAGTTTTTTCCCGATTTTTAGAGAGTCATATAGAATTTAATTTTCTTAACGCGCCACATAGGATTATAAATTTTAATTGTAGCCAATAAAATAAGATAGGAAAAATGGAAAAGAAAAATTCAACCTTTCAACTTTTTCCTTACAAAAATCCAACTTTTTGATTATTCCTCAAAAATCCAACCTTTATACCCCTCCTTCTCCAAGAGATCCATTTGACCTTTAACCTGTTTAACAGGTTAAAAAGATTTTTTTTATTTTTTTATTTTATCACTTTCCTTTATCACTCATCCTCTTTCTCTCTCCTCTCTCCTAAAATACGAAAAAAACCACTGTGCCGGCGCCACCAATTTCGCCACCACACAACAACCTACCTTGCAGCCCCTACTCGCCTCCCCACCTAGCCACCTCTATTGTACTTCCGGCAAGCATCCACCAAAAAAACCCACGAGTTTTTCCCAGAAAATTTAAAGACCACAAAAAAAATTGAACCCATCTCTCTGTTTTTGAACCCGCGATTTTCGACCGACGAGAACTAATTTGTGCTCAATTTGGTAGTGGGTTTTGTGGGTTCGTAGGAGGTGGTGGTTTTTGTGGGATTTCGTGGGCGTGTAGGTGGTGGTTTTTATGGGTTTTGTGGGTTCGTGGTAGGTGGTGGTTTTTGTGGGATTTCGTGGGTTCGTAGGTGTGGTGGTTGTTTGGTGATTGTGGCGGGCGAAGTGGTGATTACGGGTGGCGAATGGGTGTTGTAACTATTGACGATTGAGGTTGGTGGTAATGGTGGACATTTGGTGTTGTGGGCTGTGAGTGGCTTGTGCGGGTGTTATGGGTGGGTTGTGATTGTGGGTGGCGAGGGGAATGAGGTTGCCGAGTTTCGATGGCTGGTGGGTACTGGGGTGTGGGGTTGTAGGGTTTTCCGGTGGGCGGTGGAGATAGGGTGGTCAGGGAATGAGGGAGGGTGGGGCTTGGTTTTTCTGATTTTTTTTTATTAATATAATTATTTTTGTTTTTTAATAATTAAAAAACTAATTGACCAATTAATGGCCGACACGTAGCATATGACTTACAAAAATGGTCATCAACAGGTAATGGATCTATCGGAGAAGGAGGGGTATTAAGGTTGAATTTTTGAGGAATAATCAAAAGGTTGGATTTTTGTAAGGAAAAAGTTAAAAGGTTGGATTTTTCTTTTCCATTTTTCCACTAAGATATTATTAATTACTTTTAAAATAAAATATTTCAAATTCCATGTAAGTAAAATTGTCAATTGAGATTTTTAAGTTTAAATTAATTAAATATAAAATATTATCTTTTGATATTATGAATTTTATCTAAATATATAACAAATTTTAGCACATAATAAAAAAAAAATATTTTTTTTAAACAACAAACTGTGCATCGCACGGAATTCATCTAATATTTAATAAATCAAACTATTAAGAATTATTATTTAATAATATTATTAATTAATAATTTCTAATAATTATAACAATTCTTTCAATAAATAAATAAATAATAATAATAACGATTAATAACAATTTTTTTTATAAGCATTTGATATTAGAATCACAATGTGTAGAAACATTTAATGTGGGTATTGATTGTTAGTTCATTGAGTTGAATAATTTTTCAAAATTTTCCATACAATTTATGAATTAAAAAAAATGGTTGTTTTCAAATAGTACTTTGTACTTCCTCAGTTCTTTATTACTTGACCCGCTTTGACTTTTACACTATTCACCACCCCTTCTTTGACCGTCTTTTGTGAATAATATGTAAGGAAAAATATATTCATGTATGATCTTTTTGGATTTGTCTTAATAAGTATTATCATAATATATAACTTTTATAATTTTTACTTATGGAGAATTTAAGTTATTGATCGTTAAAGTTTTGCATTGGCAAGCATGATAAAAGAAACAGGTCATGTAAAAAAGAACAGAGGAGTATATTTTTATTTTGAGGGTTAAAAATATATGTTTAAGATTTTAAATTTTTTGTAAAATTAATAAAAGTTAACGGTTATCTTTTATCTTTCTACTATTAAAATATGTTAAATATGGTACACATTTATTTATGTTTTCACTCAACTAATTCAATGGTATATGCACTTAATAATAATAATAATAATAACAATAACATTAATAATAATAACATTAATAATAATATTAATAATAATGTTGAAATATGCTCTGCTCGGCTCGGCTCTACTCTACTATCCTGAAATCTGCTCTGCTGAAATTTAATCTTATCTTCTCTGCTCTGCTAGTCCCTGCTCTGCCAGAAGCTCAAAAGAACAGGGCCTTAGTAGAGTGTACAATACACTTTTTTTTTTTTTGAAAAGTGCTACAAGAAGAAAGACATTCAATTAGAGAGAAATGTCGCATCAAGGAAGACTTAACTCTCTAATGGTCTAACAGTCTAAGATTCGAATATTATCAAGTGATGGTAGTTTTAAGTCTTGAAACTTGTATTCATAGTTAAGGATCTTCTTATTTTACCCCTACTTCCAAATATTAACCTCGTAAAATCTAGACTAAAAAAATCGTGAAGGAAACTTAGGGTCTGTTCACTTCAGCTTAATTATAGTCTAGTTCAATTCAATTCAGCTCCAATCAGTTCAATTCGGTTCAATTCAGCTCCAATTAGTTCAGTTCAGTTCAATTCAATTCAATTCAGCTCTAATCAATTCAGTTCATCTCAATTCGGTAAATATGAATCGGCCTTTAAAGCTATTCACACTTGAGTAGAAAGAGTAGAATGAGAAAGAAAAGGGGCTACTGAGCTGGGCTATACTCTTCCTACTTCCTAGTCTCCTACACAAACAAAAAATTTCGCCTCATTGTCTTGCTGTCTCTCTCACAAATTTGTTCTGTGTTGCCTCTGAAATCGTGCAAAGCCTAAAGACCAGCTGCACAGCATCAATCTCTCTGCAAAAACACCCTTTCATTAAACAACACAAACTGCTAAACAACAATTTTTCTCATTCATTACTCTCCGATTCTCTGTTATCTCATTTAAAATCCAATATTTTTTTTTTTGAGTTTTTTCTTCTCTCTCCTAGGGTTTGAATATGGTGATTTTCTCTGATTTTGAAGATGCCCATTTCCCCAAACTTGCTCAATTTCTCTTTTGCTTGAAAACCCATCATTTCTTGGCGTTTTTAGCAAATGGGTTTGCGCCTAATTGGTAATTACTTGATCTTTTGCTCAATTGAAAATTTAAATTTTGAAGGGAATTATGTCATTTTGTTTTTTCCTGTTGATAATTGCTTCTGGATTTAATTTATGATATATTCGTTGGAATTTTTTAAACTATGTCTGCTTGTTATAATCGTTTAATTTCTTCTAATTATATACATTGCCCTGTTTTTATGCTGCTCCATGTAGAATTTTAAACTTTGAGATTATCCAAATTAATACTGATGTATTTAGGGTACATGTATAATTTGCTTATTAAACATGTACTTCAAAATTCAAGGCCAAAACTTGGATATATTTCATGTAAATTGATTATACTTACAAATGCAAATAATGAGTGAACCCTATAGTGTGGATTTATTTTTATTGTAATGTAGTACTACTTCATAGTATTTTGGCCTTATGTACTTGATGATATTCAGTTATAGTTGGATATTGGATATTTGACAATTCAGATTGGATATAGGGTATTGGAAATTCTGAATTATGGGTGTCAAATTTATTGATTTTGGATTGTGCTTAAGCCTTTCAAAGTTTTTACAATGATTTATCTTAGTTTCAAGGAGTTCTATATGCAATTTCATAGAATGTGTTTTTAACGCTTAAACTGTCTTTTAAAAAATAAAACAATTTTGGAAGTGATGTGGTTATGCTACTAATAAATGTGTCTAGCACATTTAAAATTTTAAATGCATTGTCTACCAATTACCAAGGTGTCCTAGTGATATCCTTTCTCTACGTGAGGATAGCTTGTTTCTTTCACAATTATGATCTCAATCTTTTTCATCAATTCTATGTCCAATTATTGTCGTGTGGCTATATCCTCATGCTCGATTTCTTGTTATTATTGCCACAATGTGATTAGCTACTTCAGTTTTTTTTTTTTTTTTTTTTATTATTTTTTTTTTATTACAGCCTTTTCCCCAATATTTGCCCTGAAGTTAATGAATCATTCTTAAATCTGTTAATAGTGATTCAAGTCAACCATTCTGGTAAATATTGAGTATTGTGTTTTGAGAATGTTATGCTGCATGCTTGATGGGCTCCTTGTCTCTTTACTTTCAGTACTTGATGAAAGAAAGTCCTAGTACCTGACTGCCTGCTACCTAGGCCACAATTGAAACCATCTAGAGTCTTGAAGAAAATAGAGGAAGAACTTGTGTGTATCATGAGCTGGTCTTGTCTGAAAATCAATTTGTGCCTGTTAAATAATCACATTGCTCAGAGTCAGTAAGTCTGTATTGGTCGTATAGCAATTTGATCATATTTAGTTGCACCGTTAGGTCATGCCTACCAAATGCATCACTTGTTTAGATATTATTTTAGCGAATAGCGATTGTACATATTTACATGTTTGGCTTGGATATGTTTTGAATTTGGGCCTGGTTTATGATAGATTGTCAGTTATCCGACTAGTGTGCCCATTGTGGTAGTCTTGAACTAGTTAGGATTCATGGGTAAGGCTAAGTACATCTGAATTGTTATTTACCTTTTGTTGGTTGCATACTTGGTAACCATTGTTGTCAGTTTGTCACTTAGTAGGCTCAAGGTTAAACATGGACTGTGCATGTTTTTTAAGTACAGTGAGCTTAGGCAGTTATAAAATTAGATTTAGTAGGGCGATTATATTCATATAGACCAAAATTGGGCATTGTAATCTATAAGCGAGGGAGATAATTGTACTTGATGGTGTTAATTCTAGGAGCGTGTGTTAATCAGCTGATCCAATGTAGTTATTTAGCTGCATATTTTCCAATGTTTGTATGTCAACATTAAGCAAGATGATTGTCTAGGGTCAATTAACTTTGGGCAAATATTGGGGAAAATGTTGTTTATTTTTTTAAAAATGTAATCAGATTAAAATCGAGCTGCCTGCTACTTACATATTGGCTGGAACATGTTTTTGCTGTATATTCCTGCATAGGATGGAATAATTTGCAATTTCTGTTGGAGTTCATTTACATGGTCTGTGTGCTGCTTGCCTCTCTGTTTAAGTGTGTGCCTCTTTCATTTTGTTTACTTAAATAAATATCATAAAAAATCCATGCTTTATAGTTATGTGGATGAATGTAAATTAATAGAATTTTTAATTACACTTTGTTTAGGTTGTTAGATGAGTGCATAGGAAAGTACTCCACCATTTTCTTCCCTCATCACTTCGATTACCGATTAATCTCCTCCTTTCATTGCAATAAATACAGAGGAATAGAATTCCATCTCTTGATCTCAATGTTACTTGTTGATATGACTAATTGAGTGTGCAGTTAAACTATCCTTCTACATGATTGTTATGAATGACGCCTAATTGTTTGTTTTATTTATGCAACCGTTTTCTGCTCACTGCATATTATGTAGCATTACATATTTACATTGTGTTTTAACAAGCAAAATCTGTATCAATATTAGGTCCTGCAAGAGCCACCGAGATCTTGTAACACAAGAACGAGTACCTTGCGGTACGTTGTTAACGTTGAACTTAATGGTTTGACTTTGCATTGATTTGAATTGGAGGAAGTGGTGCAAGGGTGGGTAGGGGGAATGAAGCAATTGGTCCGTGGAACTCTGGTATGTATATCGAAATTTTCTGTAAAGTATTGGTACACTTTATTTATCTGGATTACTGCTAACATGCTGCGATTCATGTAAGCGATTAATGTATTTATGGAGCTGTGTCACCATAGCCATTTTAGAACTTATGTATTGGTTATTCTGGGGTGATATTCTTTTGGATATGTTCTAGGTTGTAATCAAGAAAAGAAATTAAGTTTATCGTATTTTCTGCATTTTATTTCATCTCTAAAGCTCCTAGCTCTCTGTTGAGGTATAGAAGAACCACATTACAAAGGGCATTGTTGTCGTTCAACACAGCACGGAGGGATTTGATCGACCCTCCAACTGGCTGAATGAAGCAATAACTTATAAATAGCAGCTTCTTTGTGCACAATTGTTGCCATTTTAATATCCATTTGTGTTCCATTTGCGGACATTAGATTTGCTGTAACAAACTCGGCTTCTTTGCAGTTCGAATCGAGGATAATAGTCCAGGCGAAAGGGTCGTTTGGTAGTATAATGATAAAGAACATTAAGGACTCGTAGAGATCTTATATTAAGATGTACGGAGTACTCCATAAGCAAGCAAGGCTTTAACTGTTGGAACATAACTAAGCAAGCCAGCCATTTTGTTAGTATATCTTTGGCCATGGTAGCCCTTATATAACATTCATGCTTTGGCTGTGGTAGGGGTTTAATCAATGGATAATCATCAATATCATTCGTAAGAAGTTTACAAACCTTAATGTCATAAAAATCCTCAAGTAGTTCATCTTCTCTTCCTTCCATTAAGAAACAATACTTGTTACGTCTAAAGCATTTCAGGATGCTCTTAGCTACTACATTCCTGTAGAGATACATAACATAACTTACACAGCGGATCTTATGGCAGATGCATAGGGACATCTGGTGAGTATGATTTATCAGTTGTATGGTTCAAATTACCCAAAATGTTGGTCATTCTCAACAATCGTCATGACATCAAGATATCTTCCCCCATCAAGAGGATGAGCTAAAAATCCCTCATTGTAATCAATGGCTCTGATTCTCTTAAACCTTGCCGGAGTGGTAGAAGTAACTAGATCAAAGATTGGACCTATTCATGATCAAGTGATGGACCATGGAATGTGGCAACTAGACCTGACAAATGGGTCATTCGGGTCGGGTCTGGGTCGGATCACTTTCGGATTGTTTTGGGTCAGCGAACATTCGGGTCAGGTCGGGTCAATTTGGGTTAACTTTGGGTCAAGTCCGGTTCGGGTCAATTTTCGGGTTGGGTATGTTCAGATCGGGTCATTTTTGGGTCAAGTATATTCGGGTCATATTCGGGTCAGGTCAAATCCGGTCGGGACATGTTCGGGTTGTTTCTTTTGTGGATCAAGCTCAAATCAACAATTTTATAGAGAACATATTTTAGTTTATGAGCTTAGCTACGGTTGAAAATGAACAATTTTCGTTATTTTTAGCACAAGACATTTTTTGTTCAATTATAAGGTAATTTAGTTCGGGGCATTTCTGGTATTGGGTTTGTTTGGGTCAATATCGGGTCTGTTCGGGTTAATTTCGGGTATCGGGTCGCCATTTGGGTCAAACACATTGGGTCAATTTCGGGTCGGGTCAACTTGGGGTAGGGTCAGTTCGGGTGTCGGGTCAAGATCGGGTCAACTCCATTGTCGGGTCAGGATCGGGTCGGGTCGTATCAATTTCGGGTTTTTGGGTCATTTTCGGGTAATGGGTTAGGTCATTCGAGTCGGGTCAACAGGTCTGAGTCAGGATTGCGAGGTATAGTGGCAACTGATAGTCTCTCTTTGCTACTCCGTAGCATTCACTACAGTGCGATGTAACATTCCGTAGCATTCACTACAGTGCGATGTAACACACTTTTCTATATTTCAATAATTCAATTGCTCATGATCTGCATTGTACATTCAGTATAAGACTTAGTTTAAAGTTAATGAGCTTTTTCATGGTATTACTCATTCATCGATGCAAGGGGAACTTGTTACTTGCAAATTTACGTACCTCTAGCACATCCCCGGCACTCATTACAAAGACATTTGATAAGGGCTTGATTGACACACAGTTGTTATCTTTCATGATCTGGAGGCCTTCCACATCGTTAACCTCAAGAAGGATTGTGATGAGAGAAATTGAATCACTGTGAGGCGTTAAGCCGATCACCTTATCAAGTTGCGGACAAGGAGGATAATAGTTCATTCTCATCGATTGATGTCCTCTGAACACATTGCTTTTGAGATCATTGTCTATATTTAGAGCTTTTGCCGGATAATCAAGTATCTTCCTAACAAGCTTTTGTAATTCAGCCGAGTAATTTTCCAGTGTCTCTATATGTTAGTAATAGTAGTAAACTAGTAATTAGACCCGTACATGAAGATATTATAAACAAGGGAAAAAAAGACCCATAATGAAATGGAATGACATGAAATTAGATATGGCTGAAATTGATTACGTACAGAACCAAATAACTCCTCCCTACCGGAATCAGCATTTGTTAAATAACTCCCTCCGTTCTTAATTACTTGACCCGTTTTGACTTTTACACTATTTACCATCCCTCTTTTGACCTTATTTTGTGAATAATATATAAGAAAATATATATTCATGTATGATTTTTTGGACTCATCTCAATAAGTACTATCATAATATTTAACTTTTACAATTTTTACTTATGGAGAATTTAAGTTATTGATCGTTAAAAGTTTTGCATTGGCAAGCGTGATAAAATAAACATGTCAAGTAAAAAAGAACAAAGGAAGTAATACCTTCCTATATTTCTCTCTACTATGTTATTTTTAATTTTTTTTTTCTTGCCTTGTGGAACCCACATGATTACTATTCATCTTTAAAAATGCTTGAGCTATGAGCAATTTTCATTTTGCTCATGAGCATTTTTGCTTTTACTCATTGATGTAAGTCATTTTTGTTTTAATTTCACCAAAAGTTTTGCTCATAAGCATGTTTTTGCTCATTATTGAAAATGCTCTAAGCAAGATTATCTCTATCCCTTATTATAACCCCAACTAAACCAATAAATAAGGCTGAGCAGTGAGTTACATATAATATTGCTCGCTTTGTTTCTTATTGTTTGCTTCATTTACTTCATTGCAATTTCCAAAGAACATGCTTAACCATCAACATCTTTGATAACGTATAAAATTACAAAATGTTCAAGAGAATCTAAGAATGGTACTTTACAATGATAGTTAGAATTGACAAATAGAAACAAATGGATAATGTACTTAATTTGTACTTTCTCCGTTCTTTATTACTTGACCCGCTTTGACTTTTACACTATTCACCACCCCTTCTTTGACCGTCTTTTGTGAATAATATGTAAGGAAAAATATATTCATGTATGATCTTTTTGAATTCGTCTCAATAAATACTATCATAATATATAACTTTTATAATTTTTACTTATGGAGAATTTAAGTTATTAATCCATAAAGTTTTGCATTGACAAGCGTGATAAAAGAAACAGGTCAAGTAAAAAAGAACAGAGGAAGTACAAAACAAAATAAGATGAGCCTACACTAGTTGGATGTACGATGTTGGGCTCTATTATCTTAGCAAGCCTCACATAATCAGCCTACACGAAAAGACTGTCTTGTTACAGCCTAATTTTGGCTCGGTTCAACCTATTATCATCTATACCCTTTTTTATTTTTTTTTGAGGAATTATGTCAACTCTACTTGGATGTTCTTTAACATACTATATTACACAAGAGTATCTCTCCAAAATATATATATATATATATATATATATATATATATATATATATATATATATATATATATATATATATATATATATATATATATATATATATATGAGAAGGGTCTTATAATGAAAAGGATGAGAAATAATCTAGTGTGTTCAATTAGATAGATCTAATGGTTCTTATTACATGATTCATTAATGGCAAAACTGTAAATAATATGTAAAAGCTTTTCCACAAATTCCTCTTCTCCTTCCCGTTCCCATTCCTCCATGTTCTTCACTGTTTTTTCCTTTTTTTTTTTTTCTGTCAAAGTTCAACAGAAGCTTGAATTTTCCCCTATTCTCTCTCTCTCTCCTCCATGGTCATCTCTTTCCCCCACCTTCTCTTTCTCTTTCTTTGTCTCTCCTCCATGATCATCTCTTTTCCCACCTTTTGACTCCCAAATTTGAAAAGAATTTTCATGATTGCAATAAGGGAGTCGTGGAGTTGTTTGAGTATAAGAGATGAAAGCAAAGCTTAAAAATTAAATATGCAAATTTGAAAAACCTATATATGTTATGAAATATATAGAAATTAGAGGATTAAGAGAAGAAGGTAATAAGAGAAGTATTACTACTTGTATGTATTACTCTTGGTAATATTTTTTTTTGTGTACATCATACAAGTGAAATTGCATGGTTATTTATAGTAGTAAGAATTACTATTACATTGTGGGCTATAACCTTAGCGGGTGGCAATTAGGGTTGGCTACTACATTAAATGCAATGAAGAAATTGGACTGTGGACATTCACACCTTGACTAAATTAATTAACTCTTAACACTCCCCCTTGAATGTCCATACAAAATAGGGTATATATTGCCTCGTTAAAACCTTGCTAGGTAAAACCCTTTAGGATAAAAGCCATAGCTAAGGGAAAAGAGTACAACAATATATTACTATATGCTTTAGTGTACTGCCTCATTAAAAACCTTGTCAGGAAAAACCCATTGGGATAAAAACCTGATCGAAGGAAAAAAGAGTGTAGTGCATATAATGCTCCCCCTGATTTTAACATAGTTTATGAAGATGACGCATTCCAATCTTGTGGACCAACTGCTCAACACTCTTCGAAGGTAGGGACTTTGTAAACAAGTCTGCAAGATTATCAGATGATTGGATCTGTTGGACATTTATCTTCCCTTCCTTTTGCAAATCGTGTGTAAAGAACAGTTTTGGGGATATATGTTTAGTCCTATCACCTTTGATATATCCTTCAGTTACTTGTGCGATGCATGCAGTATTGTCTTCGTAAATGATGGTTGGACTTTCAGTTACTTCTTTTATCCCACATTCTTCTTGGATATTATCGATAATTGACCTTAGCCATACACACTCGCGTCCTGCTTCATAAAGGGGAATCAACTCAGCATGATTTGATGAAGTCGCAGTCAAGGTCTGCTTTGTTGATTTCCAAGATATTGCAGTTCCACCATAGGTGAACAGATATCCAGTTTGTGACTTGGCATTTTGTTGGTCTGATAGATATCTAGCATCTGCATATCTGATGAGGGTGGCATCTTGCCTTGATTGATAAAGCAAACCAAGATCTTTCGTTCCTCGTAGATATCGTAGTAAGTGTCTTACTCCTTTCCAGTGTCTCTTCGTTG